ACACACACACACACACACACACACACACACACACACACACACACACACACACACGTAAACCAGACAGACACCTGGAGGTTAAATATAGGATAAAGTTTTCCCATTCCCACATGTTTTGAGTGGAGGCGGAGGGCAGGGGATTTTTGACCCCCTGCCTCCGCACTACTGCATTGAGTCACCCCTTAAGGAGGGGGGGTCTGCGTCTCTGAAGGTGACTAGACCGTGGCCTTCAGTCGCGTCCCTCCTACCAAACGCCCACAGTTGTCCCAGTATTCTCCTTTTCGTGGCCCCTAAATACACAGGGTTCCCTAAGGGCTCCAAAATGTGGGAGCAACAAAGCGGGAAAGATAAAAAGAGAAAGAGGCCATGACACAACATACATTACACAGAAACGCTGACAGGCTAAGTATAATAAGGAGCAATAAGTGGAGGGTTTGTGTAAGAGAAGGGAGGGTTTAAACTAATGTGAGGGAAGAAAGGGAGAGGGGTAGGCACATCTGAGTTCTCCAGAGACCATGCAGACACTAAACTCTCTTTATAACCCTTTTTGCCTAAATTATGGCCTCCATTCCTGTTTCTTCCCTCCATCCAGTTTTATGGATGTCCAGAGACAGGAAATCTGGTAATATGTGAAAACGCTCAAACAATTAAAGCCGATCCTCTCTTGTGAAAGGAGAAACAATGAAATGGTCCCAAGACCCTCTTAGTAACACTGTGTAGGTGTTAAACACTAACATCATCAAGGACAGCTGTGCTCTCAGAGAACACAGTTTACACATGATACAGATTTATTTGGGACTAACTCTTATTTCCTTCACAAAGAACACATACTACAACAAGAAATATTAATTGTAAAGCTTAACTTCTTCATCTTCATGCACTTTTTGGTGGGTGCGTCATCATATACTTATGAGAGATTGCTCAAAACGTTTTACTTTAAATTGGGATCGATCACATTAAGATCAAGTATTGCATGCCAAATAGAAGGAAGTTAGGTACAATTGTCCACTCAATGGAAAATTGTAGCTAGAAAATAAATGTCACCTTTGTGTCAACAAAAACACACACAAAAGGGAAGAGTTTCCTTGGTTTATTTTCTCATCTAAAATCACAACACACTGAAAATAGAGAACAAAAGAAGTGTAAACTGTGTGGGTGAGATGAAAAGAAGCCCAAGGGACTCATAAAACATCTCAACACGTGGAAAAAAAGACGACGGCAACAGCAAACAGAGGTAACTTCTGAAAAACACACACGTATAAAAATAAAGAACAAACAGAGAATAGGGAGGACTTGGATAAAGAAAATGAGGTTAGGTAGAAGTTCAGTACAAAGTTGTTTGTGTAATTAAATCCAAGTCATAGAGTTAACTTTGATTACATCAACTTACATTTCATGAAATACAACACTGCCCTGTTATTGGGCTTCCGTGCTTCCATATGGAGTATCTCCATCAACTCTTAGCCCATGCATTATACATTATGCGTTGTATGAGATTGAATGAGGATGCCCCTGAAATCTGTCATGGCTGGATGATTTCCAGAGCTTCTCTCCCATTTTCTATATGCTAAGGTGTTACTCTTTGTGCGTGTTCCCCTCTCTCCAGCTTCTTTATGCAGGGTTGCAGCCGCCATGGCTCTTTTGTTACTCTGGATCTTTCCCGTGATAACTCAGGCCGGATAGCAAAATGACCCATTGAAATTGAAAGGATAAGGAGTTCCTCAAGAGTAAGAGGAAACCTTTTTTGCATCTGTGTGTGTGAATACATGTATGTTATAAAGGCAATGTTGGAGAACAGAGGTTATGGGTTTTTTCCTGCCTGACCGTGTGTCCTCATATGTGAGTGCTTGTGTTTTTGTGTGTCATTTTGAGTGTGTGTCTATGTGATGGATAATGAGTCTGCACAATGAGGGCTCATATTATACGTCTAGGGTGTTTGACATCATCGTTTCCAACCAGGTTGGTCAATCTGTACAAAAAAAAGCCCTGTCTACACACACACACACACACACACACACACACACACACACACACACAAAATTAACTACTGTTTTAACTGAGCTACAGTAGAGATTAGAATATGATATCAGTTGTTTCTTTTGAAAAATACCAATACCTTTTTCTTTTTAAATATACCTCAATCATTACACAATATTGATATAAAGTATGCATTTCAGGGTGAGTGACAATGTTTTGGATCAAGTCCAAGTCAAGTCTCAAGTCTTTGAAATTTGACATGCAAGTAAAAAACCAAGTATTTTTAGTGTATCAACACTTCGCATGATAATTACATTGGCAAAATCTTCAAACCACCAATACATACCAAAACAGTGCATTAAATGTCCATTTGCAAATAATGAACCATCTCTTTGTGAGCGAAAGCACAACAGCTCAGCATTTTAGCCACATTAGTTGCATGACTCAAAATATGATAGTATTGGTCAATCAGTACACTTTATTGTTCCTGATTGATAAATTGAACAACACAGGTTTAAAAAAATGCTGGGGTGTGGCACTGGAAGTGAAACCCATGTGAAACAGATACAGAAAATGTACCCCTTTCTAAACCGTTTCTAGTCTTAGGCCTTTAATAATTTAATGATCTGAGGGTAAGTATCCTTTTATTGTCTAAAAGTCAAATCAACTCTTTAGGTAGTCAAATCCTAAAGACAAAGTCCTAACTTTTGTGTAGGGCCTAGTGACATCTAGTGTTGAGGATGTAAATTGCAACCAACTGAATACCCCTCCCCCTTCGGAGGTGCTACATGTTAGACCCTGTAAAGAGGATCTGTTCCCAAAGTAATAGGTAAATGGACTGCATTTGAATAGCTCTTTTCTAGCAAGTCAGCATTCACATTCATACATTGGAAGCATATGCTGCCATTACACGTGCTACCTGCTAAGGAGAGACCAACATTCACATGCACTATGTCGTATACGGTATGTTGTATGACACTGTTGGCAATGTCAACTTTAGTAAATTGGATTTTGGTGTTTTGCCTTTGCATTCACACTTCAAGGACACTTCTACATGTGGATCAGAGGGGATGGGGATCAAATACTAAAGGAATGGAAACATATCATGATTATAATATTCAATTTCTGCCAAAATATCCCCCTAAATCTTACAAGCTGTTGTTTAAATAATTTGAATAACTACTTCCCTTCTTCTTATATTCAGTTAAAGAAGTTGTATAAATTAAGAAAGATGGGACTATATGAAGCAGAATGTGAATAAGTCTACTCTGGTCCTTCATGTTTTTGATGTCTTTGATGTGATGTCTCTTCTGTATTTGCGGGTCCCATTGCCATTGTTGTTATTATTATCATCATGCGTCTTTCCACCTTCTTCTCCAGTAGGACTCAGATGAGGGTGTTGCACTTTTATTTTCTTTATACATGATATGTTTTGGTGTTGTTTTGTTTCTTTCCGTTAACCGTCAAGTGTGTGTTTCTCTTAGTATCCTAAGATACTGTTATGTTTGGCTGTGAAAAAAAAAGTATATATATATATTATTATGAAGGGCAGACCATCTATTTGTATTTATTTTTATTTTTTTTAGAAAGGGGCAGGTCACATAAGATTGTATTCTTCTCCCTGCTCCTTTTCGCTCAATGGTGTTTTGGTAGAGTCATGTTTTGTGGCAATTATTATACATTTGGTTTTGCGTACCATGAGCGGGACAAACAAAAATGAAATGAAATATACTGAGCATAATTGTATTTACCTAGTCTCCTCACAACCCACTGTCTCGTCTTTCTGACCTTTCTCGTCCTTTTCTCTCTATTTTCCCCTTCCCTCCACTTCTCTCACTTTATCTCCTCTTATTTCCTGAGGTATTGGTGGTATCGTCTCGCCACTGAGTCTAATGTTTTGCTGTCTCTCCTTGCACCAAGGAAATGATCTCTCCCTTTAGACTCTGAAACTTGGATAATGTCCCTGTAAGTCTCCAGCATATCTCTTTCTCCTCCCTCATTGCTGCAAACTTCTTTTTTTTCATCTATCCGTGAAAGTTGGACGAGCAAATCGAGATAGAGGAAAAGGAAAAAAGATCAATGTGTGGACATTTCAGACGCTCACAGAGAGCTCTCGGTGATGTACAGTGAGCTTTTGCCACGGATTGACACTTAAATTATTTTTATTTCAACTTTATTTTATGTTGAAACTCTTATTAGTTGAACCGTCATGAATCTAGTTTGAATGTGATCTTCTGCAAGATCATTTGAGGAAGCGTGTTTTTTCTGCTGAGTTCTACTTCTTGTTTTGTTGTCTACTGCGACATCTGCTGGTGTCTGCTGGGTATTGCAGTTCTGCAATCGTGTATGTTTTCCCCATATACTGTATATAGGTTTTCCCGCTTTCTGTGTTGTATTGTGGAGTGCTCTTGCCCCTCTTCCTTTAGTCTTCTTTACATGTGGGAGAAAATCAGCAGCTAAAAAATACGTCTCAGAAGAACGCAGCGGTCTTCTTTTTAAGCAGGGGAAACAAAATAAGCTAATATTGTTTATTGTTTTACAACTCCCTTTCTAGTTTTTGTATAGGCCTACTTTACTTTACTGGGATAGCCTATTTGCTTGTAGAATAAACCCTAAACCCTATGGTTAAACCTTGGTGCGAAGTAATGCAAGACAATGATTATGAATGTGGTCTAAAATGTTAATTGTTTTCCTTTTATTCTAGCTGTTCACTCCACAAACAACAGGGCTAGACATGTAGCAGATTTCAATCTTGTATTTAATGCAACAGCAAACATCTCCTTATCTATTCGACCAGGGATTACTTTATTCTTGGTATCTAGTGAAAGTCAGTCAGTCTGTAAATCATCAACATAACATTACGGAGACCGTGCAAAAGGCGGGATTTTGGGCCCCGCCCACATGTTGCCTTCAGTATTGCTTCTCCATGCACTGCGCTGCAACTGCGCAGCCATCGCTAGTCTTGAAAGCTGCGCATTGTGCTATAAAAAAGCGCAGTTATGAACGTCATGATGATGTTAACATCTGTGTTGAGGTATTGTTTGCTCACAAGCACCGTGTTTGTAAGAGGAAACAAAACATTCACATATACTCTGCAAAACGGTTGATTTCTATATGGTTTTTTGGAATATTTATTTTTTTCCGGTCGAATCCAGATGCTTTGCTTGTGGATGCTGCACCAAAGTGATAAGAAGCAGTTCAGCCACGAGGGCTCCGATGACCATTACTTCCAATTACTGTCCTGCGTGTTAACAAGATACTGATAGCAGATGATAGGATCATATTGCCTTTCAGGTGCTTTAATGCGCAGCCGCTGCACGCTGGGTGGACAGAGAGTGTAACTGGGTCCGGTTACACAGGAGGATGGTGGCGAAGATGGCGAGCTGCGGAGCGGCTTCTCACCTGGAGGACGGGTAAGACTTTTTTGATATATTAACACACAGGTTTCTTCTTTTGGCTTTACAAAAGTGTTCGTGCTGTACTTTCAGACAGTATGCATGCACAGGATGCGCGCTTAAATCGTGTCGCTTCAAAACAGGAAGTGGTGTCTTTTGTTGCTGTCTGTTCTGAGCTCATGTGTTTGTGCATTTATAAACATTGACAAATGAGTTCCTCCGCGTTATATTCTCGTGTAATTGAATATATGTTCAAATAAAAAGTGACTGGAGTGAGACACCTTTGTTGTTGTCTGTTTGCGCTGAACGCTTTTGTGTTGTTATATTGCGACGACTCACTGAAAACAACGTAACATCAAGCTGTTCGAAGGGGGCAATTGGAGAGCGATTGATAAAAAAAAAGATTAAGTTGTAAAGCAATACATATAAAACGTTGTATACCAATTTTTGTAACAGATTAGATGTTGTAAATAAACTTGAAAATCAGTATAGAATATTGTAAGAGAGAAAACATGCCCCTGTGTAACCTATCATACAGTGGACTAGTACACACTCCACTATAACTTCCTGCTGACAGTTTTAAATGAATGGTTTATGATGCAATGCATGATTCATACCATCTCTTTAATAGTTATTATATCAGCTGTATTGTCAACCACAGACAGGTGATACTGATGACTCATGACTCATTGTCCTCTGTGAATGCTACCATGTTTGCAAGGGTATCATTGAACCAGTGATGAGGGCTATACAAGTCCCTGAATTCACAATGCCACAACACTTTGATAGAACTTTTAAAGCATTAGCGAAATTATATCCAGGGACATTTATATAGTTTAATTTACCTTATTGGAAAATCAGTAGAAAGACACAATTGTTGTTGTTGTACTTTTCCTGTATTAGGTGGAAGCCAACTGACATTTGTTTATCTGCACACAGATGTCCTCTCAATTCATTGTGTTTGCACAAGTTGTAGAAAGTATTTCATTGCTGCAGCTTTTATCTTTCAGCCAGATGCAGAGGACTGGGTTATCATATTTTGTGGGAGTAAGATAGAAACAAGTGAGAGCAGAGGAAGTCTGAGAACTTGTGCAGGGAGTTTATTTATTGTCTGAACACATCAGAGCTTCGCAAAGGAGAACTTTGCTAATAGGAAGAGAAGATTACCATGGCAACTAATGAGCCTTGCTGTTGTTGTGCTTTGACTATCTGGCAGAGAGAGAAAGAGCTGACCTTGAAGAGGAGGAGAACACATTGTTTCCTGGACATATGTTTGAAAGCGAAGGAAACCACAGGGCCTTATCAGGGTTAACAGACGCTAAATAAAATAACCTAATTCGTCCAGTCTTTAGAATCCTTTTCCTGATAGATCATATTTTTCTTTTGATCGCCACGCTGCTACACTTTTCCATGCCTGCTGGTGGTGACCTTGTTCATCTTCTAGGTTGGGCTCTCTGTCTATTCCCCCTGACGGATCTCAGGCGTGTTTCCTCTTGTTGAAGCTGAGCCTGCGTCAACAGGTTGCACCAGTCATCTGCTCAAACACAGCATTACACATGACATGGATTGGGCTCATTGTTTGTTTGATATACTATATTCATGGATAGTGGAGCACATATCAAAAACATTTAGGGGGCTAAAAAGTCAGGAGCATCAGGTATTCATGCCCGCTGTGCACGACCGGGTGATATGGTTGAAACTAATGTCAGGTTTTTGATAAAATCCTTTTCATATATGTTTAAAACGGTAATGCAGATGTATAGACAATCACATTCAATAAATTAGAATGATGTGCTTGGAATCAATTCCGCAAAGCTACAGTGCAGATATCGATACTTGGATGAAACCTTATGATCAAATCAACACAATATGATGCCACTTAAAGTAAATAGAGGTTCAACTCTGAATATAAATCGTCCAATCCCCTTGCTTTGTTTGAGTAATGAAAGCAGAAAAAGTGTCCAGACCAGTTTTGTTTGATGAGGAAAGTAACCACCAGTATCTTTCCATGGCTGTACCATCGACACTGCTCTGAAAGTAGGTCAGTGTGGGAGTTGAGGTGGAAAGGTGAATCTATCACCCAACAGGATGGGTTGTGTGAAAAAGTGAGATGAAGGCAGCATGTACACACTTCCTGTTTTTGTATGTGCCTTTTGTGTTCCTATGTGAAAGCAGAAGTGGCATACTACAAAAGCCTGTAGCTGAACGGTTTTAAGAGCTTTCACTGTCTTCCTTCTTTAAATCCTCCCAGAGTGTAACTTAAAGATGTCTGAATGTTATCTCCTCTGCCCTACAGAGACGGAGATGTCCCCGCGATGGAAAACAAAGGTAAACAGCACACCAATCTCATTCTTTCCCTCCCCCTCACTGTTCTTTCTGGTTTCACTTTCTCTCACAGCACACGTTGTGACGTAGAGCTACCTGTATCAGCGTCTTTGTTTTTTTACAGTGTTTGGGCTACGTCTCTCATTCCTTTTGTAATATCTAAATGTAGTAAATCCCCATCTATTATCTATCTTTCTTTTGTCTTCCTGCTTTTCTTCTTTCCCTTTCCACTTTCTCTGACCTCACTCTGGCCTTCCTGCTCTCAGATACATTTGCATTAAAGGGCTGGAAGATTTATGCACAGTCATATGATCTTTGGTGTGCAGTTTTGCATTTGCTATATCCTAACACTGCACACCTGTACACCAAATATTTGTCAGACCTTTCTCTAGCATTTGCTTTGTGACCTTTTATATTTCTTTACCAAAGTAGGCCTAGAATAATCCCAATAGCATTATTAATGTCCATTTTATAACAACCTGCAGCAGTAATACATGTGCAACTGCTGATGATTAAGAAACCAGTGATCTGACTTCTTGCCAGATGCCAGATAAAATACATCTATACAGATTACCTGTCAAATATGAGTGCTTTATTTCTCACAAATGTAAAACATGTTTACCACATTGTGTACAACTAATTTGCATAGTGTATGTAAGGTAACATGAGGCAAGGTTCAAGGTTCTTTATTTTGTCATACGAACATAGCTACAGTGTAGTTATACCGATTTAAAATCTTAGGTCTCAGGCTTCTCCAACAGTGCAACACAATAACACAGATAAACAGAAAAATATAGTGCAGGTAAATAGAAAAAGAAAAATAGTTTGAAATAGTGCAATAAGAGTAATGTATATGCAAGTTATCGGAATGATATATTAGAGAAATAGATACATAATTACTAAGTAATAATAATAACTTTATTTGTATAGCACCTTTCATACAAGGGATTGCAGTTCAAAGTGCTTTTCATCAGTAAGAAATAAGACATAAAAGCAGTGTAAAACAAGCAGCAAGAGCAAAACATAAAGTGGGATAAAATAATTAAACATAAAAACATGGGGACTACAAAATTGAGAAATAGTGCAATGTCAATCACAGAGAAATAGTGCAGTATAATAGTGTAAAGTCAGTAAACTGCTTTGGTAAAGAGATAGGTTTTAAGCTGTCTTTTAAAAATGTCTAACGTATTGGCTTCCCTAATATTGTTGGGTAACGTGTTCCACAGTTTTGGGGCGTAGTTTACAAAGGCGGTTTCTTCTTCTTCTTCTTCTTCTTCTTCTTCTTCTTCTTCTTCTTCTTCTTTCTGCTGACCTCTAATAGACCTGCATCTGATGATCACAGTGTTCTGGCGGGTGTGTAGTTTATTAGAGAGTCAGCAATGTAGCTGGTTCCTTTTCCATTAGCACAAGAAGCAGAGGAATGTCATGGATGTTGTAGGAGCCATTTTATGGGTGTTGTTGGTGTGTCAGTTTATTTAAGTTATACGTATAGTGCGATATTATTTTTGAACACTTGGTGGCGGGGTTGAGCTGCACCGGGTTTATAAAAGAGGTCATAGGTGACCAGGTGACGGGAAGACACAGAAGGAAAGAGCATACCAATTTCACCAGCCCGGCAGATGCTCACCACTACAACAAAACTGTACAATTAAACCCTGGTATGTAAAACGATAATAAACCTCATTATAAACTGCACCAAAGGACCATCAAGTCATCTGTTTGTGTCTGGATCACTCTTCAACCCCTTCTGTGAAGTAATGGCAAAAATGATATAGGACATAGGAACAGGAATTGCCATTACAATACTAACACTG